ATCTTGTTTACACTAACACCATCCACTATTCCTCTCTGTCTTTGTAAATCATCTTTACTTCCACCATATCCATATACTTCTGTTTTTTAGACTTCTCATCTCTGTTTTTCTAAGGACCTCTTAAATCCATCCAGCTACAACCATTTGCACATACAGTATATATGTATATATTACACATGTGGTGATATATTATTTGCTTACAATGAACTCTTTTTGAACATTTTCACAATCATAAGATGTAGGAACTGATTATCTGGATGTGCATCTGAAATTGTGGTTGCTTATGCTTTGCAGATAAAAAGAATTATACATTTGTTTGTTTCTCGGTGGTTGAATTTGCTTACAAGTCTGTTGGCACTACTCTTGAATTAGCTAATGGAAGGAGTACATTGCAGTTGGCTTTTTCCTCAAGAGACAAATCTCAAGGCGGGCTATACATTACCTTTGATGCTAATTTTTTTCCCCTCTGAAATTCCTTCCTCTTGAGGCTTTTACTCTTTTGAGTTCCAGCCTATGTTTGTTTTGCAAATGTGGGCCCAGGTATCCTGGGGGGTTAAGTTTAGCTAGGATTGGAAGTTGTGCTGCGGTGGTTAAGCACTCTTTCCTTTCCGCCCCTTCTCTCCTGCAAAGAACCTCTTCCATTCTGCAAATTAAGTTCAGCTCTATAGATTTTCAGTAATGTCTGTAACTGTGGTCAGCAAGTGTAACATGTAATTCTCACCCTTGTAGTGGTATTCATCTATTTTTCTATGTCTTTCAAACATATCCATCTTATAAATGTGTGTCAGTGGCAATTCATGGAAAATATGATGATGCTGTCTACAAAAATATTACAGGTTGTCCTTGACTTACAACAGTTCGTTTAGTGGCCGTTCCAAGTTACCAACAGCACTGAAAAAAGTGACTTATGACCATTGTTTACACTGATGACTGTTACAGCATCCCCGTGGCCACGTGTTCAAAATTCAGATGCTTGGCAACTGATCCCTATTTATGACGGTTGCAGTGTCCCGGTATCATGTGATCACCTTTTGAAATCTTCTGACAAGCAAAGTCAATCGGGGAAGCCAAACTCACTTTACAGCTGTGTTACTGATTTAACAACTTCAGTGCTTTGCTGAACAACCGTGGCAAGAAAGGTTGTAAAATGGGACAAAACTCACTCAACAAATGTCTTGCTTAGCAACAGAAATTTTGGGCTCCATTGTGGTTATAAGTTGAGGACTTCCTGTATTCTACCATAAACACTTTTTTTAAAAGTTGAAAAAACTGTAGGAGGGGATTAGCATGTACGAGCTTATTCATCGTTTATGCAAATTTACACAAATTTCAGAAATTTGGCTGCAATGTGCCAATTGGTGCTAGTACCTCAATAGGACAAAAAATATTCGTGATTAGTATATAAACAACAGCAATAAATGAAACTTGGACTGCCTTCTTTAGTGTACCCCCTTGCCTAATTGGTTAGTTTATCTATCCCAGAACTGGATTCACAGCCTCTAAAATGGGCTAATTCCATTTGCCTCATTTCAAATTCACATTATGATCTTGGCATTAGAGGAGGGTAACCTTATTCGAAGCAAGGAATCCCATTGGGGTTTTGAGTAGGATGCCAGCGGCCCTGTTCTAAAACGTAGTGAGTTTATTTAAAAAATGAATTTCATTTTATTTTGTGGGGAGAAAATCCTCAACTGGTGTTCAGTTTAAAATGGATATTTCATTCTGTCCCCCTGTGTCTCATTAAAAAGGACAATACCGTGACAATTTCTGGAGATCTCTAAGAATGAGGTTTTCAAGAATCATAAGCTTGCCTGGAATCACTTGTGGTTGATTAAACTGAGGTGTACTTCTTTCCTAGTAGGTGTGTTCTTTTCCATTCCAGTATGTTGTTTCTGTATTGTGTTCATTTGAAACCTGTTTCTTGATGGCAATGGCTTCTTGTTTTGATACGTTTGGAAGTTGTTCCATGTGCTTTTCCAGAAAGGTTACCTGCTGCACTTTTGCCTTTGCTTAGTTCTTGCTAGCATAAAACTTTGCCTATATTATTCCTTGCCAAGTCCAAAAAGCAGAAAAGTGTATTTTTCATTTCTTCCAAAGTTGTTCCATTATTTTATTGGCGCTTTATTGTAATTGTAATTCAAATGTGGTACTTGGAAAAAAAACAGGGGGTATCATATTTTAATTAGTCACTGTGTCAAAGGAGGGCTACATTAATTATTGGAAATCACGCCATCCAGATGGTTTTAATTTTCACAGCAGGGAACTGACATCTTTTTAAGGTGATACTTTTCAAATTAAAATCAGCCTGGGTATTACTCATACTTGTTTTAGTTTAAGAGTGAGGTGATGTATCTTGTAGTTTTGAAACTGCCCAGCTTTCCTTGGAGTATTTTGGAGTGGAGAGGTACACATGCATTTTAAAAGAGGCCGAGCCATTTGTTTTAACATGATTGAAATTGACAATTTGGCTTCAGAGAATGGAGGATGGGAGGTAGGCAATCTTTTTGTCATTAGGATTTGTTATTGAATCCACAGGATGGAGTTTGCCAAAAAATGTTTTTATCTGACAGTCAACATTATACACAGCAAAAAAAAAAAAAAAAGCTGAAGGATTGAATTCCCTGAGCATTTGACCTATAACTGTAGCAACACTAGCAGACAGAAGCAGCAAAGTTAATGTGCAGTTATGCTGGCCAACAGGCAAATTTTCCTCACGCTGGGTTAATCCATTGGCTTTCCCTGCCCAGTGTTATCTGTTTTGACTGGCAGCAGCTCTCTTGGATCCCAGAAAGAGCTCTTTTTCACAACTCTTTGGCAAAGCTGTTTCTCTGTTCTTTATGGGTCTTTCTTACCATCTCTGCTAGCATCTTCCTCGCAGGCATTTTTTTTTAAACCAAGGAACACCTGCTGTCTCTTTTCCAAAGCATCTGTTCATGGCTCTCTGAGAAACTGCTGAGCCTGCTTCCTGGAACTTGGCTCACTGCACTTCTCCACAGTCAAGGTGGCCTGCTTTGGGCTTAGAACCATAATGTGAATAAGTTGCCCTGTGTTTCGTCTTTGATCAACTTTAACTTAGGGTTTGAGTTTGGTCTGGTCAGATGAGGTTAAATCTCCAGCACGAGGCTTCTTAAAATTAACAGACTTAAATTAAGAACATACCTGTCCATTTTTATTACTTGCCCTTATTTGTTTCCACCACCACAAATGCTCTTTTTGAAACTATAGAAGGATTATTCTAAAACCTCCAGAAAAATCTTCATGCAGTTAGCAGACTCGTATTCCAAAGGTGGATCTTCCCATTCCTAAAATTGTGTTATGCCTATGGTGGCAAATCTATGGCACGTGTGCCACAGGTGGCATGCAGAGCCCTCTCTGTGGCCACGCGTGCCGTCACTCCAGCTCAGCTCCACCACACTTACGTGCATGCCTCCTGCCGGCCAGCTGGTATTCAGGCCTCTGCTATGCATGTGTGGAGTGGGCGGGGGAGCGCATGCACAGGGGACAGGAGCCGTGCATGGGGGTGGGGCATGTGCGCATGTGCAGGATGCGTGAATGCTGCATTTTGGGTATGCACACGCGCACGTGCATTTTTGGCACTTGGTGCCAAAAAGGTTCACCGTCACTGTGTTATGTATAAAGATGGAATTATAAACATGCTCAGAGAGAAGTCAAGATATGTAAAAAGTGTGTGGGAACTCTTAAGGAAAAGTAGAGGAAACTCTTTACCAACCTAAAAAGACCTGAATTTGCTCAGTGGCTTCAAATGCTGCCTCTTATTTTGGTGGAATAAGTTGGGAAGAGGTGCAGAAAAGAAAAATGTAAACTGAAAGACTGGAACATCACACAAAATATTTTTTTTCACTGCGGGTGTTACATGCCACACTCTGTTACATTACACCTGAGTTAATATCTCAAGTGTTACATTCTGTTTCTGTTTGGGCAAGATCTCTACTATTGTGAGCTGCAATTGGCATCATATTCCTCTTACTTTTGAGGCCACAATGATGAGCTGCCCCCTGTTGTTTTAATTTAATTTATGAATTTCAGCTCATGATGAAACATGGATCGATTTGTTTTGAAAGAAATAATAAAAAGGGTTAGGACACTCAAGGAATGAACGTTCCTTCTTTGGTGTATTAGGATAATGTGTGACCAGGGAAAAACCCAATATGGAGAATTTTCAGAGCACATTCAGCCATGCAGACATCTTTCTTTCTAGTGCAGCTGGGAAGTAAGAAAATAATCTCAGGAACTTTTTGGACAATATCTTTTGAGGAATCACAGCTTGGCTTTAGTTGGTGCCCTTCTAGATAGTGCCATTCTGAGACAGCTGATAAGGAGGAGAGTAATTGGAAGCCTGGCTTCCTTTCAAAAGATTTGCTACACCATTTGAGAAGCCGGTTCTTGCCAGCAGTTATTGGCCCATTTCATGATGCCATTTGAAACAGGGGGCAGGACCATCTTTTCTACTAACCTGATGTTTTATTTGCTCCCATACAAAGTAGCAGTAGAAAAGTAGTTGTAGTAACTCACCTCCCCACACCCTTCCCCCCTTTTTTCTTGATTGACACGGATTGGATTGAATGTGGGGCGGGGGGGGGTTGGTTTTGTGATATAAAATATAATCTGGAATCAGTAACATCCGGATGCCCCCTGAAATTTGAAAGAAAGTGGGGTTGGGTTTTTGTGTGTGAAACTAATGCCATTCTCATGTCTATGGTGTTCTTTTGATCAGACTTATCAGCCTGTCTTTTTGTCCCAAAAAACATAGTGTACCCTGATGTGAGTTTTCCCTGCGGTATATAATGGATCATTTATGAGAGCTGGTGTGCTCGTTTTGTACTGCATGCCGCCAGTCATATAGCAATGATACTCTGTCTCTCAATTGGAGAACATATAAGAAGTCATCTTCTTCATTCACTCTATGACCAGTCTGGTAAATGCTTGTAATTTTCCCCCTTTTTTTTCTTTTTTCCTTCTTCTTCCTCTTCCTTTACAAGCCCAGCTTCTAGTGGAAACAGACACATTTGGCAGTCAAGTCCGGATCAAAGGGAGAGAGACAGACTTTTACCTTTGCATGAACAGGAAAGGCAAACTAGTAGGGAAGGTAAGTGTTTTCTATTAATTCATTTGTAATATGAGTGTTACCTTTAGCAGTCACTGTGAACTCCCATAATGATGTGTTCTGAACTTTGCCTGTCAGCCCCAAATGAAAAGCAGGATTTGAGGAATGTGGAACTCTTCAAGCATTCATGCTTTTACTTAAAAACAGAAAAAAGGAGGGGAAAAAAAATCCTAACTCATAAAATTAAGTACTGTGGCTAACCACTGGGGTTTTATTACTGATTTCTCTGCGTACATACAGGTTTCCATTTTACAGATGCATAAATTGTTAAAAGATGTGCTTCTCTTGTTCTCTCTCCAAAACAATTGGGAGTTTGCATTACGTGATAGAAATCTCTCTTACCTTGGTGGTTTAAACAGGCAGAAACAGAAAACTGCAGAAACATGTTAAGATGTTAGACAATGGGGTATCACTCTTAAAATAGGAACAGTTTAAAATGAAATGATATTGCAGTTTTTAGATCTTATTGGGGATGGGTTTATGCTTCTTATATTACAAGAATATTTCATTACCTCTGATCTTCATATACAAACAGTGGAAGCATGGATGAATTATATTACATTTGCCTATGCCTCTTAGCTGCTAGCTTCAGATTAGATTAAAACGAATCCATTACTTTTGAGGATGGGTGGGGGGGTAGTTTCCACTCAAGTTTTGTTCTTGTTGGTTTGTTTGGGTCACATTTTTGGCACGTTTGGAGTTTGACAAGGTAGGCAACAGGCAAATCCAGACTCCAGATATTTTAAAAAGGATCTTCCCTGCCTCCCTTCCAAAATTAATTCTTACACTGGCATCAGTTTTTTGGGGGGGTGGGGGTGGGGTGGGGGGAGAGGAGGAATCTAAATTTTTGGTGCTGGACACAGGAGCGGGATTCTACTGGTTTGGACCAGTTCGGGTAAACCGGATGTTAACGTAATTTCAACCAACTGGCTGACCCTGCCCACCCTGCCTCTCCATGCAATGCAGGTAAGTGCAGGGTCTGCATGGAGATTCTGGGAGGGGGAGAACAGGCCTTCCGGAAGTCCAGAAACGGGCCTGTTTCCGGTTTCTGGAGGGTCTCCAGAGCCTGGGGGAGGCTGGTTTCACCCTTCCAGAGGCCCGGTGGAAGCCTCCGGACCCTTGAGAGGGCAAAAACGGCCTCCCCCAGGCTCTGGAGGCCCTCCGGAAACCGGAAACCGGAAGTTCTGGTAGTCCACACCCACCATGGCCACGCCCACCCAGCAACCGGGCAGAGAACCAGTTGCTGGGATTTTTGAATCCCACCCCTGGTTGGAAGACAGTGTGAATTTAGTTTAGAGAAAATAGAGTTGTACGTCTGGAAACCACATTTCAGATAAAAAGCAGGTGCACAAAGGTACATTATTTAGTTTTAAAGCGAACTACTTTGTGTCTCGACTTACAGCAATTCATTTAGTGACTGCTCAATGTTGCAACAGCACTAGAACCATTTTTCACACTTACAACCATTGCAACATCTCCATGGTCTCATGATCAAAATTCAGGTGCTTGGCAACTGGTTCATATTTATGAAAGTTGCAGTGCCTTGGGGTCCTCTGATCCCCTTTGGAGACCTTCTGACAAGCAAAGTCAATGGGGCAGCCAGATTCATTTAACAACTGAGTTACTAACTTAACAACAACTGCAATGATTACCTTAACAACTGTGGCAAGAAAAGCCGTAAAATGGGGCAAAACTCACTTAACAAATGTCTCACTTAACATAAATTTTGAGCTCAATTGTGGTCATGAGTGGAAGGCTACCTGTGTGGAAACCCCCTACAATCTCTCCTGATGTCCTTTGAACTGATGGTGGGCTACCATAAAGAGGCAAGACCAACACAAAAATTGTTTTACAATTTTTATTTCTAGGTAATGATAGAAACAGAGAATAAAGACTATGGGTTGTTTAAGCCCTGAATACGGTAGATAACGTTACTTCCCTATTAACTTTTAAAAAACCAAAAAGGGGCAAGGAACACTTTTATTCACCACAGCAATTTTTTTAATCTGATAAAAGTGGCATTAGTAGGTCAGGAGACCAGCATTAGCATGTGATAGTACAGTATAGTGATTATTATCAGATTAGAATAGAGATCCAGCTTCAGATCGACATTTAGCCAAGTGAAAATCTTCCACTATTTACTGACTCACAATCTGATCTACTTCGTGGG